GCTGCTTCTTGACCAGCTTTAGCTGCTTTTGATGCAGCATCTCCTACAACTTTCGCACCTTCTTGCGCATATTTTGCTCCAGCTTGAGCAGCATCATTTGCCATATGTGCACCTTCTTGCGCATATTTCGCTCCAGTTTTAGCAGCATCGTTTGCCATTTTTGCACCATCAGATGCTAATTTTGCTCCGGTTTTAGCTGCATTAGCTGCTGCTTCTTGACCAACTTTAGCTGCTGTTGAAGCAGCATCGGCTACATAATCACCTATACGAAAAAAGATATTAATTTAAAAATGTTTTCTTACACGAAAAATTAATTAATTAATCTTAATAGCTAAGAGTAATTCATTCTATTCAAACTATTTATAAGATTCATCTTAATTAAGATAAATTTAAGTCAATTTTTTTGTTTAGCTTTAATTTTGAAACAATCATTATTTAACTAACCAGCAGTGTGAGCAGCATCTGCCACAACTTTTGCACCTTCTTGCGCATATTTTGCTCCAGCTTGAGCAGCATCATTTGCCATTTGTGCACCTTCTGACGCATATTTCGCTCCAGTTTTAGCAGCATCGTTTGCCATTTTTGCACCATCAGATGCTAATTTTGCTCCGGTTTTGGCAGCATTAGCCGCTGCTTCTTGACCAACTTTAGCTGCTGTTGAAGCGGCATCGGCTACATATTCACCTATGCAAAAAAATATATTCATTTAAAAATGTTTCCTTACACGAAAAACAAATTAATTAATTTTAATTTAGGAAAGTTCAAATGAAATTCTTTGTTTAACTTTAATTTGACAAAAACAACAATATTTAACTAACCGGCAGTATGAGCAGCATCTGCTGCAACTTTCGCACCATCCGACGCATATTTTGCTCCAGTTTTAGCAGCATCAGCTGCAACTTTTGATCCAGTTTTGACACCATCTGAAACTGTGTCTTTGATGTGTGTTGCTCCATCTACGACAGTATCTTTAACTGTCTTTTGTTTACCATATGCTGTTGAAATAAAACATACAACAGCAAATGTTAATAAAATTTTGCCTAAAAATTGCATTGTTGTCCGTGGAAAATTTGACTATAAAATCGATTGTAAAAAATCTGAAAATATTAGAAAAAGTTTTAGTTTTGAAGTTAAAAGAAGAGAAATTGTTAATCAAGTTTTGTTTTTATTCACAAAAAGAAAAAACTATGTGTACACAACAAGTAAAACACTGTTCTATACGAATAACTTTTTCTCTAGGTTTCATTACAAACCAGATGGAAACAATGTAATACTCTAGGGGACTTTGTCTACAATAAGTATATCAATGGAATACATTCTACATACTTGTGAAAAGAAACAAATGAAAGATATGGAATGATATGGCAAGTGGTAAAAAAAAGAGTCAGTATGAACAATATACATATATGGAATAGGTGAAATTTTGGCGGAAATAAATGCTTTCTATGTGCTGGATTAAGTTTTTTCAAATGGCTATTAACAATAAGAAAAAAATGAAAAGAAACAATAAGGATTAATGCTTAAGAAGAATACGTCTGGAAAAGAGCAAAATGAGAAGAAAAAAGAAATGTATAATAAATGTCATTTTATACTGACTAGTTAATCATAACTATTTATAAATCGAGTGTATCCTTAACATTTTTCTTTGTTTGTTTAGCAGTTTTTTGTGCTTTACCAGAAACTTCATCGAATTTTTCTTTGGCTTGATCTGTAAGATCAGCAGCATGTTTTGATGCTACTCCGAGAGTTTCTATATCGAAAAAGATTTTATACAAATATATATATAGACGTATTTTTTACCTAAAATTGAATTTTTAACATCATTGAGAGCACTAAAAAATTTTTCTAGAGCACCTTCACCTTGTTGTTCAGCTTGTTTTTTAGCATCTTTAGCTGCTGATTTAACTTTATCACCAGCATCACTAGCTGCTGATTTAACTTTGTCACTAGCATCACTAGCTTGACGTTTAAGTTTTTCACCTTGTTCTAAATAAATAATAGATATTTTGATTATCACGTAACTGTTTTCTATATACTTGATGCTTGACCAGCTACATTTTCAGCTGATTTCTTAGCTGATTTAGCGGCATCATTAACTGCATCTTTTCTAAAGATAATTTATTATAAGAACAATTGCGTTATTCTTGAAAAAATTAACTTACGCATCATCAAAACTATCACTTGCTTTTTGTCGAAGATTTTCGCCAGCTTTTTTAGCTTCATCAACTTTCTTGCCTGCTGCTGCTTGTGCATCGGCAGCGACCTTTTGACCGGCTTTGACTGTGTCAGCTAAATAAAACAAAATATTTTTATGCTCGAAATTATTTTAGATTAGATTTAATACATACAAGCTTTTTGTTTTAATGTTTCAACATTTTCATTGACAGTATCCGAAGCTGATTGTGCTGCAGCTTTAGCACTAGCAACACCATCATTAACAACATCAACTACTTGATCCTAAAAAGAAAAATCAAAATATATGCATATTCAATATTGTTTTTTTATACTTTTATTTTTTCGCCTTGGTTTAATGCATCCGATGCTTTTGCTTTAATATCACCCTGAAGATCAGCATTAACAATAGTTAAACATACAATCGATAAAATAAGAATTTTAAACATAGTGAATGAAATATTTAATTTCACAATATATGAAGTAAATAATTAATCTAAAATATGAAAAAAGTAAAATAATATATACTTATGCTAATGTATATATACATATTGATAAACAAAAATTATATTCTGAACCTTGTACTGTTTTTTTCGAAATGAAGAGAAAAAAATATATAATGAATCAACGAGTACGTTAGCGCTATCAATATATATATATATATATATACGTAGATAAAAAACACGACAACGTACTGACTGACTGACATGAAATGAATCATCATCTATAATAAATTCTGCAATAAATTCACTAATGCATATATATGTTTTATCTTATTATGTGATGAACAAAAAGTATTTTTTTCTAAATAAAACAGACGTAGTATAGAACATTCTTGTATTGTATTGGACTCTTTAATAATTGTTATCTTTCTATTCTATTTCTATCATGAACTAGCGTCATCTTCATACTGACTAATAAATGTCATGATTTTTATTATTAAGAAATAATATTTATTTGTCTTGAGCTAAAATATTTTCCTTTATAAAAATAACAACGATGAAAAGCAAACATTTACAACTACATTTATATGAAACCATATGAGAGACAAAGAACATCAGACTGCATTAAGTTTAAGAACAATTGAAGTTGTACTTTTTTCTGTGTTAGCTTTAACCACAATACAGAGCAGTAACAACAGAATGTAAGAATATTTATTCTAGTCAACTATCGGTCACTACAATAATAGTGCCTGAAGATATTTATTCTATTTCTTCTACTATTATCATAGAAGTTTAGAATTTATTTCAAATCCGCTTATTATTTCCTGAATATCTCAAAAACCAGATAAGACATTAGAAATACCCATTTTATTATACATTGTATTTTATTTGAAACAGATAGATTTCGGCTTTTTTTTCTTTTTCTCTTAATTCTAACTCTTATGAATGTGTAATAAAAATTTTCTATCATAGTAAATTAACTGAGAGTGTCATCTATCACATTTCTATTGTCTTGATTTTCAATATAGATATAGGTCAGAATCCTAAATACATATAGTAAAATATTCTTGCTATATGTATTTGGGGAAATAATCATACAGAACATTGTTTGATGTATATATCAATCATATCAGTCTATAGATAGAATCAAATAAACGTGGCATTTTTTTCCTATTGGTTAACAGATATATAATGCGTTCCAATCTAATATTTATTTTTTTTCTGTTGAAAATAAATCTCTATCCCAAAGAAAATATTTTCTACTGATACTATTGAATTAATTTTCTATATTATATATATATATAATTCTTTCTCATCCCCCATTAACCCATTCGCCATAGTATTTGTATTTACAAATAGAGGAATAAAGAAGTAATCGTTAAATGACTCATTGTCGAATGCAATCATATATCTCTCTCTCCCTCTTCCCATTTTTTATATTTCTTTTATGCTAGCATCCACCCACACGTTTCTTAACTTTATGTTTGTATTGTGCTCCGCCTTGTCTATACTCGCTCATTCGAAGACGAGAGCATTTTATTAGGTATAGGTTGAATGAAAAAAAGATAAGAAAACAAATGAGTATAGATTATTTGAGACCACAAATCACTATTCATGCTATAGAAGGCTAAATATATATATAAGTTAAACTTCTCTTTTTTTTCTTTTTTGATTTAAAGATCTTGACAAATTATTTAAGTATGGCCGGACAATTACCAATTAAATTTCAAGAGCATTTACAGGTAAAATAGTTTTTTGTAATAATTAAATTGATTCATGATAATTTTATAGCTTCAAAATGCTGGTATTGATGTTACAAATATCGGATTTAGTTCACTTACAATGGAATCTGATAAATTTATTTGTATACGTGAAAAAGTTAATGATACAGCTTTTGTTATCATTATTGATATGGCTGATGTAAATAATCCAATTAAACGACCAATTACAGCTGATTCAGCCATTATGAATCCAACAACTAAAGTTATCGCCCTAAAAGGTAAATAAATCATTTTATTTCTTTGTAAATCAAATAATTGAAAAACTTTCTTTTCCTTTTATCTCTATAGCTGGTAAAACATTACAAATATTTAATATTGAATTACGTAGTCGTATGAAAACATTCAATATGACAGAAGATTGTATTTTTTGGAAATGGGTTAGTGTTAATACAATCGGTATTGTAACTGAAACATGTGTCTATCATTGGACAATGGAAGGTGATAGTCAACCAGTTAAAATGTTTGATCGTCATCAAAGTTTACAAGGTTGCCAAATAATTAATTATCGTACGGATGAATCATTACAATGGTTACTTGTTATTGGTAAAATTTAATTTTTCTTAAAGGAACTTAAGAATTTTATTAAATTATTTATCTTTAATCTTTTTACAGGTATTCTAGCACAAGATAGTCGTGTAGTTGGTCGTATGCAACTCTATTCTGTTGAACGAAAAGTTTCACAACCTATTGAAGGACATGCTGCAGCATTTACACAATTTAAACTTACTGGAAATAAACAACCATCAACACTTTTTTCATTTGCTGTTCGAGGACCTCAAGGAGGAAAGGTAAAACAATTCAAATGTTGATTTAATTCATTCTTTATTGGCTTCTTATATTTAGCTTCATATTATTGAAGTTGGCGCACCAGCACCAGATAATCAACCATTTCAAAAGAAAGCCATTGATGTTGAATTTCCAGCTGAAGCACCTAATGATTTTCCAGTTGCTATGCAAACATCATCAAAACATGGAGTTATTTATCTTGTGACAAAATATGGTTACATACATATGTTTGATATTGAAACTGGTTCATTAATTTATATGAATCGTATCAGTGCTGATACCATGTTTGTAACAGCACCCTATGAACCAACATCTGGTATTATTGCTGTTAATCGTAAAGGACAAGTAAAAAAACGAAAAATAAAATTTTTATAATAAAAACTATGATTTTGATTTTTTTCAAAGGTTTTATCAGTTAGTGTTGATGAAGAAAATATTGTATCGTACATACAAAATACATTAGGAAATGCTGAACTTGCTTATAAAATGTCAGCAAGATGTAATTTACCAGGTGCTGATCAATTATTTCTTTCAAGATTTGCACAATTATTTCAAAGTGGAAATTATACAGAAGCAGCTAAAGTTGCTGCAACAGCTCCACGGGTAATTTCAAATAAACATTCTTCTAATAATCTATTTTTATTTTTAATTAGGGAATACTTCGTACACAACAAACAATCCAACAATTTCAAACAGTTCCTCCACAACCTAATCAACCATCGCCATTACTTCAATATTTTAGTACTTTATTAGAATCAAGCAAATTAAATAAAGAAGAATCTATTGAATTATGTAAACCTGTTGTAATGCAAGGAAAAAAACAATTAATTGAAAAATGGTTAAAAGAAGATAAAGTAAATATTTCATTGAAATCTAAACTAAATCTATAAAATTTATTTCTATAGCTTGAATGTAGTGAACAATTAGGTGATCTTGTTAAAACAATTGATCCAACATTAGCATTATCAGTTTATTTACGTGCAAATGTACCAATGAAAGTAATTCAATGTTTTGCTGAAACAGGTCAATATCAAAAAATCGTTCTCTATGCTAAAAAAGTTAATTATCAACCGGATTATATTTTTCTTCTACGAAGTATTATGAGAATTAATCCTGAACAAGGTGTTCAATTTGCTCAAGTAAAATTTTAATTTTCTTCAAAATAAATATTTCATTTTTTTTCTTCTTCTATTTTATAGTTACTTGTTCAAGATAGTGAACCATTAGCTGATTTAACACAAGTTGTTGATGTTTTTCTTGAATCAAATCTTATTCAACAAGCTACAGCATTTTTACTTGATGCATTGAAAAATAATCGAGAAGATCAAGGACATTTACAAACACGTTTATTGGAAATGAATTTAATGCAAGCGCCACAAGTAAAAATAATTTTTCTTGTTAGAAAATAATAAATGTCTTTTCGATATTTTTAAGGTTGCAGATGCAATCTTAGGTAATAATATGTTTACACATTATGATCGAGCACATATCGCATCATTATGTGAAAAAGCTGGTTTACTTCAACGTGCACTTGAACATTATACTGATTTATATGATATTAAACGAGCTGTCGTACACACACATCTACTTAATCCTGAAGTAAGATATTTTTGATAAAATTAATAAATAATTATATTTTATTTTTTTGTTATAGTGGCTTGTAAATTATTTTGGTCGATTATCAGTTGATGATTGTATTGAATGTTTAAAAGCAATGCTTCAAGCAAATATTCGGCAAAATTTACAAGTTGTCGTACAAATTGCAACAAAATATCATGAACAACTTGGAACAAATAAACTTATTGAATTATTTGAATCATTCAAAAGCTATGAAGGTTAGTTTGCATTTAAAATCATTACACTGAAGATAATATAGTTCACATGTTATATTACTTCGAGAAGGAATCTGTAAGTCTTGGGTTCTAATCTCGACGTTAGTATTTTATTAAAAAAGATTTTAAAACTTAAATGATGAACATATATGTGCGCTTTTCTCATATCCTTAACAAGGAAATGTTGATTACATATTCCAGTGTAGTTCTGACAAAGTTTTAAAATCAATATTATAATCTTACGCCTAGCACCGCTCGTTTCATATCCTTGTTGTGACACGACGAATGTCCAGGCAATAAAAAACACGATTGAATTATAAACAGCTCATTAAATTCTAAATTATAGTTTAACGATCCTGAGAATTCAAACAAATTATAATCATAATTATTTTTTCTTTTTAGGTCTTTTCTATTTTCTTGGTTCAATTGTTAACTTTAGTCAAGAAACTGATGTTCATTTTAAATATATTCAAGCTGCATGTAAAACAGGTCAAATTAAAGAAGTTGAACGTATTTGTCGTGAATCAAATTGTTATGATCCAGAACGTGTTAAAAATTTTCTTAAAGAAGCAAAATTAACTGATCAATTACCATTAATTATTGTTTGTGATCGATTTAATTTTGTTCATGATCTTGTTCTTTATTTATATCGAAATAATTTAATGAAAAATATTGAAATCTATGTTCAACGAGTATGATTATACAACAATCTTTTTCTTGTTTTGTGTATAAATTTTCAAATGTATTTTCTAGGTTAATTCAGGTCGTTTACCAGTTGTTGTTGGTGGTTTACTTGACGTTGACTGTAGTGAAGATCATATCAAACAATTAATTTTATCTGTTAAAGGAAATTTCAATGTTGATGAACTTGTTGAAGAAGTTGAAAAACGAAATAGGTTTGTTAAATAATTATTCTATTCTGTTAGGCGTCAGTGATGATACTTGCCAATGCTAAACGGACAATTAGATGGTCTTTCTAGTCTAACTGGATTAGAGCATTTGTGCAGATAGCAGAAGGTGTGAGTTCGAGCCCTACGAAGGCCATCTCTTTCTTCATTTATGCACTTATGTTATCCTTTCTTTTCTTTGAATATAATTTGAAAAAAAAACTTTTCTTCTAATTAGAATGAAACTATTATTACCATGGCTTGAAACACGTGTTCATGATGGTAGTAATGATCCAGCAGTTCATAATGCATTAGCAAAAATTTATATTGATTCAAATAGTAATCCAGAAAAATATCTTCGTGATAATCCACATTATGATAGTCGAGTTGTTGGTAAATATTGTGAAAAACGAGATCCACATTTAGCTTGTGTTGCATATGAACGTGGTGGTTGTGATATGGAACTTATCAATGTAAGTTAAATAAAATAAAATCTTGGAATGATGATTATTTGATATGATTAAATATGATTTAATATATCTACATCTTGTATTCGTACTGTCTGACCAAGATTGAAATTTTAAAGAAAGAGAGAAAATTATCTGTTTTTTTTGTTTAGGTTTGTAATGAAAATTCATTATTTAAAAGTGAAGCACGATATTTGGTTCGACGTAAGGATCCTGCTTTGTGGGAATCTGTTTTACGTGAAGATAATCAATATCGACGACCATTAATTGATCAAGTTATTCAAACAGCTTTAGCAGAAACACAAGATCCAGAAGAAATATCTGTTACAGTTAAAGCATTTATGACAGCTGATTTACCAAATAATTTAATTGAATTATTAGAAAAAATTGTTATTGATAATTCGGTATTTAGTGAACATCGGTAAGAATATTGTTTTTTCTTGTTCAAATATATATATGTATACTTCGTTTTCTTATTAGAAATTTACAAAATTTACTTATTTTAACAGCAATTAAAGCTGATCGTTCACGTGTTATGGATTATATCAATCGTTTAGAAAATTATGATGCACCAGATATTGCAAATATTGCAATTAGTAATCAATTATATGAAGAGGCATTTTCAATTTATAAAAAATTCGAAGTTAATACATCAGCTATACAAGTACTTATTGATCATATTAAAAATTTGGATCGTGCTTATGAATTTGCTGAACGTTGTAATGAACCAGGCGTTTGGAGTTTATTAGCTAATGCTCAAATACGTCAAGGACTTGTTAAAGAAGCTATTGATTCATTTATTAAAGCTGATGATCCAACATCATATCTTGAAGTTGTTAATGTTGCTACACAAAATCGTAAATTTTATATTTTAATATTAATATTAAATTGTATTTTCGTTTTTTTTTCTATATAGAAAATTATGAAGATTTAGTTCGGTATTTACAAATGGCTCGTAAGAAAGCAAAAGAAACATTTATTGATACTGAATTAGCATATGCTTATGCAAAAACAAATCGTCTTGCTGAACTTGAAGAATTTATTACATCTCCAAATCATGCACAAATTCTAGCGGTAAGAATAAAAAAGGAAATCTCAGTGCAAATGATGAGAAAATTCCGATTGAATATATCAATCAGCTGATTTCTTCATGAATGAAAAACAGTTAGGGGCCCTGCTCTGATGCACTTGATTGTATACAATTTAAATTTATATCGAATTTTCGATCCAAATCTTTACATTTTATGACAATACAATTTAAATATCTCTTTTTGATTAGGTTGGTGATCGCTGTTTTGATAATGGATTGTATGAAGCTGCTAAACTTTTATTCAATAATATTTCAAATTATGCTAAATTAGCTGTTACATTATGTTATTTGGGTGATTATCAAGGTGCTGTTGATAGTGCACGTAAAGCAAATTCAACTAAAACATGGAAAGAAGTATAGTTTAATTTATTTTTTTGCTATAAGAATATCTTTTCTCTTTCTTAGATCTGTTTCGCTTGTATTGATCGACAAGAATTTCGTCTTGCTCAAATTTGTGGTATACAAATCGTTGTACAAGCTGAAGAACTTGAAGAATTAATAAATTATTATTTAAATCGTGGTTATTTTGAAGAATTAATTCAATTACTTGAAGCCGCACTTGGTCATGAACGTGCACATATTGGCATGTTTACTGAATTAGCTATACTTTATTCGAAATATAAACCACAAAAAATGCGTGAACATTTAGAATTATTTTGGTCACGTGTTCGAAAACCAAAAGTAAGTTTACTGAATAAAAAAACGAAATATTGAAATCAATTCTATCTTTAGGTTCTTCGTGCATGTGAACAAGCTCATCTTTGGTCTGAACTTGTCTTTCTCTATGATAAATATGAAGAATATGATAATGCTATTTTAACAATGATAGCACATCCAACCGAAGCTTGGCGTGAAAATCATTTTAAAGATATTATTGGTAAAGTCGCTAACATCGAATTATATTATAAATCAATTGATTTTTATTTGGAATTTAAACCAATGTTATTAAATGATTTACTTTTAATTTTATCATCACGTCTTGATCATACACGTGCTGTTAATTATTTTCTTAAAGTTAAACAATTACCATTAGTTAAACCATATTTACGTTCAGTACAAAATATTAATAATAAAGCAATAAATGAAGCATTAAATAATTTATTAATTGAAGAAGAAGATTATCAAGGTTTAAGAAATTCAATTGATGCTTATGATAATTTCGATAATATAACATTAGCACAACGTCTTGAAAAACATGAATTAATTGAATTTCGACGTATATCTGCTTATCTTTATAAAGGAAATAATCGATGGAAACAAGCAGTTGAATTATGTAAAAAAGATCGTTTATATAAGGTATTGAAAAAACAACATACAAGAAAATTATTTTCTAATATAGAAAGAGTTTAGTCTAATATTTCAATGGAAATCGGAAACAGATAAATTTGCATACTGATTAATGGTAATAAAGATGTATAAAATTAAAGGAAGATCATATATCTGAACTACAAAATATGATCTTAATAATTTCCTGTCATTCTTTTTGATTGACTTTTTTTGACTAAGAATTTCGAATTTCTCGGTATTATATTGAATTTTTGTGTTTAGGATTCAATGACTTATGCATCCGAATCTCGACAAGTTGATATCGCTGAGGATTTAATATCATGGTTTCTTGATGAAAAATTATTTGAATGTTTTGGTGCATGTTTATTTCAATGTTATGATCTTTTAAGACCTGATGTTATACTTGAACTTGCATGGCGTCATGATATTATGAATTTTGCTATGCCATATATGATTCAAATTATGCGTGAATATATTTCAAAAGTAAGAAAAACAAAATTTATTTTTTCTTTGATAAGATTCATTCATTTATTTTTATTAGGTTGATAAACTTGAACAATCTGATCAAGTTCGTACAGAAAATGAAGTAGCTGCCGATCAAAAACCAATTGATTTCAGTTGTAAATAATGATTAAATCAAATTGATATAAATCTTCATGATTGTTTTTTTGTTTATTTAGCTCAAGGACCATTAATGATAACTGGACCTGGCATGGGTGTTTATCAACAAGGAGGCTTAGGTGTTGGTGGTATGTATCCAACATATGGTAATGCACCTGGTTATTCAGGATATTAGAAATATTAATTCTTTTCTTTTTGACAAACAAAAATAATAAAATGCTTGAATTTTTTTATTTTCCATCTTATGTAAATGTTTATTCACTTGTCCGTCTGTGTGTTTTATTCGTGAACGAGTTTTTTTCTCAATATCTACGACGATATAGTTGCATTCCTTTTTTTTCTGTCTTTTGTTACGCACATATTACTTTTAAAAAAAATATTATTTACTTCTTTTTTCTTTTTAGGCAAAAAATAAATTTATTAACATTTACATCCTTAGGAGAACTATTCTTTCTTTTTCGTGTAACCCGTGATCTTTCTTTCGTTTCTTTTTCTTTTTTGTAGATCTTCTTGCATGCATTCAGTTTATTTTGATTTATTCTCTTCTTTTCAGTTGTTCATATATACGCCATTATATTATACATTTAAAAAATATTCATAAGTTGAAACAAAAAAAAACAACAACCGCGAGAAAATTGTATTATGATAGATCAAATATACTATAATATCTATTGTCAACAGTTTATTTATTAATTTTTTGTGATTATATGTGTATCCTCACTCATTGTTTGTTTTTTTCTAACGATTAATCTCGTACACATTTAATTTCAATTAGTTTTTCTTATCATTATTTATCATAATAAATTTCTGCAATTTTGTTTCTTTTAAAAAAATTATTCTGTGCAGTGGAAAAAATAGGAGATTAAAATCAATAAAATATTATCGCGTTTCTTCATATTTTATTCGTTCTTAATCAGTCGAGTTTATTATTTCGAAGGTTATCGATTGAAGAAGAGAGATATACATTTTTTTCTCTATCTAAGAATTTGTGATATATACCATGAATGACTGACATCTTTTGTCTCGTATATTATTCCGATTGATTGGTACATGAAGTCTTCAGGATATTTAGTTGCAACGTGGATTTTTGATTTATTTTTGAAGGTCACTTGTATTACTTCCTTTTCTAGATAATTATTTTCCTAATAGATAAATCTAATGACCAACAATTAAATTTTATATTTATATATTGTGATGGCATTTCAACAAGAATATTTTTCAATTCCACCTATTACAAGAGCATATACAACAACTTGTCTTTTAACGACAATTGCAGTAGTGAGTAAAAATTTCGTTTTCAGTTTTTTTAATATAAAAAAAGCAAATTCTCATATCATTATTCCACCCTGTTGAATCGCACAACCTGCTCGTCAATTTCTGTTTCTATATCTCAATTACAAAGCTCAATTGTTCATATATAATCGGATAGGAAAAGAGAAAAGGAAGAAGTAATTGATCGATGTCGTAATTTGTCAGGTGTCGGAGCATGATAAAAAGACTGAATGTGTGATATCAATGCAATTAGAACAACTGTCACCCCACATGATTTTATTGAGTAGTACCGTTATTTTTACTGATCAATCTCAATTTATGTTTTCTATTAAAGTGATTCTTCTATTCTCTTCATATATACAGATACTTAATAATCCCTTTAGCTAGTTTCTTTTTTTTTTCTTCATTGCCAATTTTCTCTCTCACTCTTTTACTTTAAGATGGCAGATGGCTGGTTACTTGCGACGTAAGGTTGCCTTGAGCTATTGTCACTTATATGAAGAGGTAAATAGAGAGAAAGGCCACTTGAACAATCGTCAATAAGTAGTACCGAAGCACATCCTATTTATTTGTACTCATCCTTCCAATATATACGTTTTTTTTGCTCAAATGAAACCTATCATATTGAAGTTGATTTGTCTATATGTATATATAAATATATATATGCTCACATAATTAAAGTTGACAATAAAAGCGAGATTATTTATTCACTAAACGGAAATTCATTGAACAAACATTATTGAACGTGCGATATTGATGGTACGAATGAGCAGATGTGAGATGTACACTGTACATGTATTTTATATCTCGGATGGGTGTTGAAGCGTGGCATCATTCCGTCGGCAGCAGGAAATATAAAGTAATAGCATCGTTATGTAGATGAGAGAAATAGAAAGCGATCTAATCAAGCATAAATACAATATCAGGTGTGTAATCAATCCGCTCTTCTAATACATTTGAAGTGAAAATAGAGACATGCTTGTCTTTTATTTAACAATCAATCAAAGTTAAAAAAATAAAATGAAATTAAAGCGATTAACAGGATATTCTATTTCATCTAGCGGAAAGACAAACACAAAATGACTTGATTGATTTATTATTGTTATTTTTAGCAATTAAATTTTGTTACTGCTTATCAACTGTACTTTAATCCAGAATTAATTTTTAAAAAATTTCAAGTAATAAAATAAAATTTTATTATTTCATATAGAAATAAATTAATTTTCTTGTTGAATAGTTATGGAGATTATTTACTTGTTTTTGTTTCTATGGTGGAATGGGTTTTAATTTCTTTTTCAATCTATTATTTACTTATCGTTATTGTCGTCATCTTGAAGAAGGTTCATTTCGTGGACGTGCTGCTGATTTTCTCTTTATGTTTTTATTCGGTGGAATATTAATGATAATAATGGCATTATTTGTTAATATTGTTTTTCTTGGTTCAGCATTAACAATCATGTTAGTTTATGTTTGGAGTCGACGAAATCCTTATGTTAGGTTTGTATCTCAGAAAAAAAAACAAATCACATATGAATTAAATTTCGAAATTATTTTTATCTAGGATGAACTTTTTTGGATTGCTCAATTTTCAAGCTCCATATTTACCATGGGTACTTTTTGCTTTTTCACTTTTACTTGGCAATTCAGTTATTGTTGATTTAATGGGTATTATTGTCGGACATGTCTACTATTTTCTTGAAGATGTATTTCCACATCAACAAGGTGGTTTTCGTATATTAAAAACACCTCGTTTTTTGTATGTATTATAATTCAGAATAATATTTCAATTATTTACTATGATTATCTTTTTTTTTGTTCTTTGTTATAGACATTGGTTATTTGATGAAACATCTCGTCGTACAGATGAAAATGAAGCACGTCCTAATGTCGGAAACAATGTACCATTTGGTGCTGGTGGTTTTCAGTGGCAGTGATCAAATTTCTTGTTAAAATATGTCTTTCTTTTCTTTCTCTTTTTATTTATTACAATACTTCTTGTATATCACTGTTAAAAACAAAGAAAAAAAAATACTATATATCTAATATAGCATGTGTCTAATCTTGAAGAGAAGGAAAGAAAAAGAAATCTAAAATGTTAATTGCAAATTTTCAAGCGAACATGTGGGCATTGTTACAATTAGTATCTTCTACATTCAATTTCAATTTTCTTCGATAAGTTTGCATGTTCTTGCACCTCCTTCTCTCGTCATTCGTTCGTAAATAATTAAGTTTTAAACAAGATAGAATTGAATGAACGGTGACAATTTGATAGGCAATGGACGCGTGTTGATAAGTCAACTCTTATCAGAAAAAAAGACATACACATAAATGAGTTTGGTGTTGAACACAATTATCAAGAGACAGACGTAGATATATATATATAGAACGACACCTCAATCAGGCCATTATCCCATCACGGGATGAGCACATGCGTCTAGAGATTCTAATTTTAATTGCTCTTGTATTCTAATTGGGATCATGAGATTCACCACAGACACAAACACACACACACACACTTTGTCAACAATGAGCAGAAGGAGATTTCTATCTGACAATGATATAAATATTTGAAATGATCAATCAATATAATTTTTCTTCTATTTCGTTTTTTTTTTATTAAAATCCGGTATTTTAACATTGATATGTGACTGCTGTTTTCCCTTCCGGATGTGTCAATTATATTGACACGTGAACAACATATCTTCCATCTTCTAATCCTGTAAATGATGCGTCTTCGTGTTTAAGGAAACAGGAAGAGTTCAAGTGTGCGCAATTTTATCAAGAAAATAAGGTATAGAATAAAAGAAAACAGCAGTTTATTTTAAATATAGATATAAAGAAATGAGTGCCGCTGAATCGGAAATGAATTACTGATCAATTTTATATCGGTGACCTATTTTAGATTTTGTGGTTTCAGGCATAAAACAACAACAAATTAGACAACAGGTGGGTCTAGGGGTTGCACCCCCTTCTTGTTCGTTATCCAATTAGTATAGCATCGAGTGACTGTGTGTATTTAACTAGATATTGTACGCCATACGACAACAAGTAGTAGTTGTAAACTCCGCCTCTCTTTCTCTCTCTCTCTCTCTTGTTCTATCAACGATAGACACTCACACATGATGTCTACGTAGACGAATACAATCAATAGTTTAATTGAGAAGAGCGTTTCCGAATAGGAGAAAAGAAAACTCCTGTGGTGATTGTTGGCAAGAAAAAAAAATCTAATTCTTTCTCTTCTTATGTCTTCGAAAAAAAAAGATATGATAAAGATGTAATAATAAATCTTCGCCATGTCGTTCTTTTCCTTCTGCTATTAAAACCATGCATCATTGATCGTTTAGAACGAATATAAACATGTCTATTGTTCGTAAAGATTCAAGAGGAAAGCTTGCTACATTGTGAATGAATACAAGTAGAGCTTCTGTATACATGTGTGTCACGCTCTCAACACCATTATCGTTAATTGTAATCCAATCGTCTTGTCTTCCTTTTTCTATTCGTCATCAAAACGACAATGAGGTGTTCTGTCTGACTATATACATACAGATCTATTATCTTAACAATAGATCGCAAAAGCGAACTCATATTGAAGATGTGTTGCTATGATAGTACAAATTGCAATTATAGCTTTAGTAATGGCTTTTTTTCTAGTTTTCTGATCTTAACCGGTCACGTAGACAATATCGATAAATAATCAAACGATTCTTTCTTTTATTTTGTGCTGGAATTTTAGAAATAGAAAATCGAAAGACATAGAAAAAAAAATGAGTGAGACAATAAAATAAAATAGAAAAAAAAAGGAAGAAGAGGTTCCAACAAGCTGTTACACACACCTATCGAACATGAAGCAAAAAAAAGGACACAAATAGGAGCACAACAGGTTGCAATGATGATGACGCTATGTAACACAAGGTAAGTGAAGGTTCTCTCTCTCTCGTATACTCATGATTTACTTTTTTTTTCATATGAAGTGAAGAAGGTCAGATATACAATATGTTCGTATGTTATTTATCAGTGTATGTATATACATACATGTATATATATATATATAAATGTAAACGTTCACTTCGTAGAACCGATTTGATTGTATATATAAATAAATATATATATATATATACCTTGCAGGAGATATCGTGGTTGTTCAACTTTCGCCTATCCCTCATCATCAACATTCAATGCTTGAGACCGTCAACACCTGTATGACAAGTGCGTATATATGTATTCTCCCGTCGATTATCTACAAATTTTCTTCTCTCACTCTCTTCGATGCCTGACTGCTTGATAATGTTTGCGTTCCACCGCGATGCTCCTGGCGGGTAAAGAAGGTACACACTTCCATTATCGTTCGTATGTGAAAGAAAAGAAGAGGTACGTTTGTTTATCTCTTCTCTTTCTGCAAATGGCAATACCACCGGTATATTCTTCTTCGTCTTCTTCTTTTTCTTCTATCTATCTTGGGATGCCCCGTACGTATACATATATATATATATATATGTATATATGCATCTGCCATCTCATCATCTTTCAATTATAAAGTAAACGAAATACTAGATGACTTCTCTCTTCAAGAAAAATAAATATAGCAAAGAGGAAAATGGGACAGACGATGATTGTTGTATCCCTAGACTTGGAAAGAAAAGGTATGAGTGATGTAATGAAAGAAGAATAATAATAATATTTCTTCTTATTCCAAAGCGGCACCAGGTGTTGAAAAGAAGGAAGACGAAGAGAGAGAGAGAGGGAAAGAAAAAAAACGGTACTATATCGAATAGATCATAGAAAGAACAGAAAAAAAAGGAGACCAAACCGGTAGAACATATTTTGTACTCATCAAGTTGTAATAGGAAAAAAATAGAAGAATCATACTAAAACAGTTCATAAATGATATTCACTTCTTTTTTATTTATCATAGAATTATATAAAATATTGATTGAATGAATAGCAATATTTCGTTTATTTCTTATTCCATAGTATTGATATTTATGAAAGATTTTCTTATAATATAAATAATTATTAATTTATTCAAATAATAATTCATATACTAAGTTATATTTTTAGTTAGATAATTTTTGAATCATGCCACCCACATCGCACATACGCATAAATAGGCAGTAGTAACATACATATACACGATTTTTGTGCCGCCTCTCCTTCTTCATACCCCGCAGTACATACTTTTCATGTTAGATACGGTGTTAGTTATATATGCTGAAGCACACATGTGCAATGTGCGACAAAATACATCTAGAAAAATCTTATTAAATGTGTACTTTTCCTTCTTTTTCTTTTTCTAGAAGCCAGATTATACACGTAATGAGGTTACCCATCAAAAACAACATATAAAATGTGCATAGAAGAAGAAGAGGTGACGATAATCAGGCACGTGTATGCACAGAAGAGAAAAAGACTAGCTGATAAGAGGTGTGTATATGAAAACGAGAGAGAGAGAGAAGGAAAGATATCGAGGAAGAACATGGCTATTTCTTCGTTTCTCGTGTCTTTTTCTTTTTCTTAGTGCTGCTTAATGCGCACCTATGAGAGGTGAGCAGAACAGAATGAAAACGTCCGATGATTGGTGCGAGAGTAATGTGTATATGTTTATGTTTTTCTTCTAAGGTTTTTTCTTCTCTCTCTCTCTCCCTCTTCTCTCACGTCTCATTGTAATGTACCACCCCTACGCAGCACACGTTTCATTTCAGTAGCATCATCATCAGAACAGGCCAAGACACATACATATATACATATCAGCAGCTTCTCTCGTGTGTGCCGAAGGTAGAATATCATCCTCCTGCTATTCGTTTGCAACGCGGTATACCCATCATCATCATCATCGTCGAAGAAGAAGAACGGTAAAGAGAGAAAGAATATAGATAGCAAACAAAACGCGTTCGTAGCATAGCATCGCTTGTTGTTGCTGACATTCTACGATTCTTTTTTTTTCACGGTGTGTCTATCTATCTATTTGTTTGTCTGTTTTTCCTGACTGGACTTTGATATACAAGACAACGATAATAACTGACTGACAGGTATGTAAAGATAATTCATATGAAACATGAGAAAAAAACCCAATTGTATATTTTCATGTTTTTATTATCAGAAATAATATTTTTGGTATTTCAAATTATAAAAATAATGTATAAGATAAGCATAGTTCTTATTGAAATCAAAATATTAGATATAATTTCGAAAATTAAACTTAAATCTAATTAAATTATTTAAAAAAAAAAAGAAACATTAAATATTGATTTTCTTATCAATAATAGTTCTTTGTCCTACAATCATTTCGGCTCACGAGATTACAAATAAGTTTTCTTTTCTCATATGCGTATACCATTCCAATGGAATTAGCAAATTTTTCTTGACATTTTTTCTCCGATGATGTGTTATGTGTGTATGTGTGTGTGTGTGTGTGTGCGTCTTAGTCTACTCTCGTTTTCCGATGCATCATCGTTCGTCTATTCCCGTTGAACTACGGAAATGAGAGTGTGTGCCGATGTGTGCAAGCACCGACAGACAACGAGCTAAAGAGGAGAAGATTGTTGCCGTTTTTCTTTTTCTTTTTTTTTTATATTCAAGAGTTTTTGTCGGTATGTAGAGAAAAAGAGTGAAGACAAGCAATGAATGCATACGTCGATTAGCAATGCTAATATGTGTCAACCAAGCACAGACTATGTATGTGATTGAAAACCTTTAGATAACGCATTGCATGCATCTTCTTTTTCTCATCTTGTCTTCTGTATTACATATATATATATAAATATATATATATATGTGAAGACGAGCTTGCTCGAATTACGGGAAAAATGAATGCAATGAGATTTGTTGGGGAGGGACGTGCTGTTGACCTGATTCGGTATATACACATTTTTTTCTCTCGCTTTTTTTTCTGTCGAACGCGAATAGAGTTTCTCTCTATGTCTCCTTTTTTTCT